TTTTCCCGCAGGAAAACCTTCCCATCCCAGCACGCAACGCTCTCGGCGTTCGCTGCCGTCTACGTGTCGGTGAGTTCCCAGCTCTCGGGCACGGCGTGGGCTCCGTGTTGGCCCACGTGTGTCTGTGTTGGGTTGGCTGGCGCTTGGGTTGGGTCCGTGCGCACCCATGTGCATGGCTGGGGAAGGGGGATGCTGCGGTGGGTGCCGGTGCCACGAGCCGCGGATAATGGCCTCTTCCTGCCCCATCGCTGCCGCCACCAGATGTATTTCAATTCCATCATCTCGGACAGCACCAAACTCCTCAAGCCCATCCTGGTCTTTGCCTTCGCCATCGCCGCCGGCATCTGCGGCCTGACCCAGATCACCCAGTACCGCAGCCACCCGGCCGACGTCTACGTGGGCTTCCTCATCGGCTCCGGCATCGCTGCCTACCTGGTGGGTGCTGCGCGGGCAGGACGCTCGGCGCGGCCGAGGCACCGGGGCGGTGCTGACGCCGCGCTCCCGCTCCCGCAGGCGTTCCACGCTGTCGGCAACTTCCGCGCCCCGACCGAGAGGGTCCCGGTGCCGGCGCCGGCCAAGGATGCTCTGCGGGCGCTGACGCAGCGGGGCCACGACTCCGTGTACCAGCAGAACAAGTCGGTGAGCACCGACGAGCTGAACCCGCAGGCGCGGCTGGAGGAGGCGGCGCGACCGGTGCCGCGGGAGAAGAACTCCCTGGGGAGCCTGAAGCGGGCGAGCGTGGACGTGGACCTGCTGGCCCCCCGCAGCCCCATGGGCAAGGAGAACATGGTGACCTTCAGCAACACCCTGCCCCGCGTCAACACGCCGTCCATGGACGACCCCGCGCGCCGGCACATGACCATCCACGTCCCCGTGGACGCCTCCCGCTCCAAGCAGCTCATCACCGAGTGGAAGCAGAAGTCACTGGAGGGCCGGAGCATGACGCTGGCGGAGGAGGCGGCGCAGGGCCGTGGTGCCGGGGATGCCGCTGAGGACGTGCCCCCGTCTCTGTACCCCACGGTGCAAGCGCGCGCGGCCGAGCGGGCGGCCGTGGGGCCCCGCGTCCTCATCCAGCCCCGCGCGGGCGCCTCGCAGCTCGTGCACATCCCCGAGGAGACCCAGGCGGGCGCCGGGGTCCCCGCCGGGGCCAGCGCAGCCGCGAGGGCCAAGTGGGTGATGGTGGCCGAGAAAGGGGGTGCGCAGCGGGTGGCCAACCCCCCGCGCCTCATGCAGGTCATCGCCATGTCCAAGCAGCAGGGCATGGTGTCCGTCACCCCCAAGCACTCGGAGACGTCGTCGTCGTCCACCAGCTCCGACTCCTCGCAGTACCGCTCGCCCTCGGAGCGGGACAGCTCCAGCATCATCACCATCGACGCCCATGCCCCCCATCACCCCGTCGTCCATCTCTCCGCCGGCAACGGGCCCTGGGAGTGGAAATCGGGTCCCAAGGGCCCCGAGGGGCCGGATGCCTACGAGCTGGGCGAGATGGGGAAGGAGTTCCGCGGCTTCCACCCGGCCAAGAGCGCCGGCGTCTCGCCGGGCTCCTCCATCAGCGACATGGAGCAGGACGAGCCGCGCTACGGCAGCCTGGCCGCCATGGCCGGGGGCGAGCGGGGGGGGGACACCGAGGGGCTGCCGGGCACCGCCAGCCGCGAGTCCACGCTGCGGAGGAAGCCGGCGGCGGAGCGGGAGGCGCAGGGGGACAGCGATGGGGACCACTACTACAAGAAAATGCAAGCCGGGCGCAGGTTTAAGGACTGAGGCCCCCCCCCCGTTTCCGACCCCGGTGCCTTCCCCAAGGCTCCCCCCCCTTCCTGGTGATGGGGGGGGGGGAATGAGGATGGGGTCTCTGTGGCATTGGGGTGATGGAGCAGCGCAAGGATGCAGCCGAGCACGGTCACAGCGGACCCTGAGGCAGCCGGGATGTGTGGGAGTCCCCCTGTGGGACCCTGCTCCCACCAGGGCGCTGGGGAGGCTCAGGGGGCTCTGCCCCCCAACAGTGGTTGGGCAGCTCCGAGCACTTTGGACGTTCTTCTTCTCTCTAACATGGTGCTGACATTTCGGAGGGGGTCATAAATTATTCCAGCTCTGGAAGAGTATTCCTGGGGGGTGGGAGGGGGAAAATGGTGCTGAAGGGCTTTGGGTGGGGGGGGGGGCTGGATTGAGGGGTGCTGGGGGTTTGGGGCTGCCGTGGGGCAGCGGGCCCTAGTTTGTGGATGCTGGGGGTCCTGCAGCCCCACATCCTGTGCCAGTGCTGGGGAGGGACGAAGGGGGACAGGGGGGTGCCCAGGGCCGGGGCTGTGGGCACACGGAGGCTGTAAATAGTGCATGGGCTGATGGAGAGGGTGGGCCATGGGGTGGGCGCAGGGGGAGCTGGGGCTGAGCTCTGACCCCAGGAGCAGCGGCAGCAGCCCTGGGCTGGGATGCGGGGGGGATTGGAGGCTGTGAATGCATTTGTTGGGCGATGGCTGGAACGGCCGTGGTTTGGAAAGCAAATAAATACGTGGATGTTCCCCCCCTGGGCTCCTTTGCCATGGGGGAGCTGCTTGGGGGGGGGGGGGAGGATGCTCCTAACGCACCGCATGAGCCCCCCGTTCCCAAGGAGATGTGGCCACCTGGGGTCCCCCACGCTCCAAATGGGCTCAGGATCCTTCCCCCCCCCCCCCCATCCCCAAGCCGGGTTAAAGCCCCCCACATGCTCCTCAACCCATTGACCATGAGCTCGACGTGACACCCCCCCACCCCCCCGGGGCGAGGAAGGGGCTGCGGGTCCCCATCGCACCCCAGGTTGATGGGGAGGGGAGGGGATACCCCGTCAATAGAGACCCCCCCCTCCCTGTGCCGCTGCCGCTGCGCTTTCCCACCGCGTTGCCGTGACAACGCGGGATCCAGCACCGCAGCATCCGGCACCGCATGGGCCTCCCCGTGGTGTGGCCCCCCCCCCGCCCCGACACCCGGCGATGGGCCCATGGCACCGCCAATTGGATTAACGGTGGAGATCCCAAAGCCTTCGCCTTGCAAACATATGGATTATCCTGCATAACCCCGGCTCCGTGCGGGAAAAACCACCCCGGGATTAGCGGGAGGATCGGGGGCAGCGCCTGCCCAGTGAATGGGTTGGGGGGGGATGCGATGGGGCGGGGGGGGGGGGGGGCTCAGCACCATTCGGCAGCAGCACAAGGGTCCTGGGTGAGCCCGGGGGGGTGAAGCGGAGCCGGTGGCCGAGGCCGGGTGGGAGGGAAGGGGGGGTCCCAGCAGCCCCCGGCGCCGCTCTCGCGGCTCCTTGCGGGGAGCGATGGCTCCACCGCCGCTTCCCGCTGCCTCTGACCCAGCGGTTTCCATGGCAACTGCCAGCCCCGCACGGCTCCCGCAGCGCTGACAGCCCCCCCCCCCCGGGGAGCAGCACCCCCAGCAGCGATGCTTGGGGCCCCATTGGGGGAACAGGAGCATCCGCATCCCCCTGCATCCCCATCCTCCTCCATCCCCGTTCTTCTCCATCCCCATCCTCCTCCATTCCCATCCTTCTCCATCCACATCCCTCTGCATCCCCATCCTCCTCCATTCCCATCCTTCTCCATCCGCATCCCTCTGCATCCCCATCCTCCTCCATCCCCATCCTCCCAAGGCTGGGAACCATTCAGGTCTCCCATTGAGGAGCCCCCTCCACTGTCACAGCAGTGTCCTGATCACATACAAGGTCAGCGCTGGCCCTGAGCTGGGGGGGGGGTTCACAGCCCCCATCCCCTGCCCCATCCCATAGGAACAATGGCAGAGACCCATCCCATCCCATCCCGGGGCCACACTGACCCCACCGGGGCCACTCCGGGACGCACGGGGTGTTCCTGTGGATCCATGGGCAGGATCCATCCTCGTCGGCAGCAGCCGTGTTTCCACGGCAACGCAGCCCCATCGCCATCAATATTTGCCCGCAGGCAGCGCTGGGAGGCCGCAATTCCTGCATCAGGGAGCTAATGAGCCATGATGCCAGAGGGACAGGGACGGGCATGGGAAGCAAAAGCATCCCCAGGGAGCTGCTGGAGCGCCAGGCCGGCAGCGGGAGCTGCGGATGCCGGTGCTGCTTTAGGGTTCAACCCCTTGAGGGTGTAACGACCACCCCGGCGTCAACCATCACCAACCGCATGGCTGCAGGGGGCAGGAGCAGCTCGATCCCATGGGAAGGGCCAGGTCCTGCTCGGCCGTGCTCCCACCCCAGCAGCCGTCACAAACCCTGTTACACTTCAGAGAACACCAGGGATTCCTTCCAGCAGGCGGAGGCTCCATCAGGGATGGGGTTGGGAACCCTGGAGGCTGCTCCATGCTCCGCACTGATGGCCTGGGCACAAAGGGAATGTGGTCAAGGACAGAGCACAGCAGAGCCATGGAAGCACCAGCTCTTTCCCACTGAGGGATTCATCCATCCACCTTTCCCCCTGCCCCTGGGCATCCTCCTCCAGACTCCTGCTCCCATCACTTCCCTGCTCCAAAGCTCCCTGCTGCTCCGTGATATCCAAGCACATCCTAAGGGCCCCAGGCCCAACGCTGACTGCTGGGAAGGAGCTTTAACGAAGCTGAGCACACAGGAAAGAGCCCAACTCTGCTCCGTGGGGAAACAAACGGGTCCAAGATAATCCTGCAGGAGACAGCAGGGAATGCCGCTCATGCTGGCCGGGAAGCGGCAGGCCCTCCAGCCAGAAAGCTCCAACACATCTAAAGCATGAAACTAGAGAGTATTTGACTGGGAAGTGGGTTATTCCGTGGGTATTAGCTGGAATATAGGGAAAGTTTAGGAATGTGAAGTAAAAAAAGGCAGAGTGCCAGGTCGCAGCTCCGCTCCATGGCTCGTCAGGATAGGACACGCAGCCCAGTGCCCTTTCGGGCATCACCACCACCCGCTCCCCATGGATGCGCACGAGGAGGATCCCAGTAACACAAACCAAGCTGGAATTACGTGAGGAGGGAAAAATCAGAAGCAAAACAGGCACAATAAAGAGAGAGGGAAATCAGAAGCAAAGAATACAGAAGAAATTTATTGAAAGCACAAGTACAGACTGGCCAACAACTGCTTTCTACAATCTGAACAGTAAATAATGGAGCTACAGAAAGGTACAAAGGTTGTTATAAAATAGTTTTAATTTCATTTCTTTTTGCATTACAAACATTCGTTGAAAGAGGCAATGGAATTCTGATGGTGTGGTAACACTTCCCCTCCCCACCCCGCCTTCCGCAATACTGAACCTGGAATCGCTGTTATCAAAATATACAATACATCTGTTTCACCATAAAAAAACCGGGTTTTGCTGCCCCCTCATGTCTTACAACAGGTATAAAAAAAGTATAAATATGTACACCCTTTTGTTACTCACATTCTTTACATGCAAACACAGGGATCCAAAGGAAAAGACCCACGGGCGCCTGGTCGTGGGTCACCTCCATTTGCCTGCACTTGGTTCCAGCCCGTGGGGTGACCGAAGCAGCGGTCAAGGCACCCCCCCAGGGGCAAGTCTCCTTCCAAGCAGCCTCTTCCCAATGCCCTGGGAGAGGCTTCTCAAACACATTTCAGATCCAAGCCCGGCCCCAGGGCTGCAGGGGAATGGGTTTGTCACCTGGGGAGGGACACCCACCACCAGACGCCTGGGTTTGCCCTCCTGAACGTTGAGGTGCTGGCAAGGAGGCGCGGAGCTGCAGCAAGAGGCTTTTGCCCACGTTTTGGGGTAACCAAACCCGGCAGCGCCGGCACAAGTGGGGCAAAGCTTCCAAGGAAGCTGGTTTTCCATGCAGCAGCCAGACCCCCCCCCCCCTCCTGTCAGCAGCCCAAGCTGAACCCTCACTCAGACCTCACGCGCTTCTCCAGTACAATTCACATCCTTGAGAGCTCAGGGAGGAGCTACGGCAAGTTAAGACTTTTCCAAACACTCAGTGCCAGGCAAGTCAAGAGCTCCCACACTAAGCCAGGAAATCCTGACTTGCAACACACTAAGACAATTAAAAAACAAACTTTGGTCCACAATTTGCAGAAAAAAACAAAACAAAACAAAACAAAAAACCCTGAAAAAAAGTACAAGATTCGTGTTATTTTGCATCCGAACAGGTTGCAGGTTAGAGGGAAAATGTAAGGCAACATCGGATCACACGAAAGAGAAGGCAGAATGGCCCGGGAAAGAGGCAGAAGCCAGGAAAAACAAATACATGGGTTTTCTTGGGGGGGGGGGGGGGGGGGGGGAAGAAACCAATCTGCTGCAATCTACTTTTAATAAATTCCCTTCCTATAACTTAGATCTGGGCTTCGAGGTTAAAAAGGTAAAACCTTCACCTGCGTCCTTTCCTTTAAGGCACAAGCTCTTTGTGCCCGTCACCTCCACCGCTTGGCTTCCCAAGTCTTGCTTTTTGCTTCCGGTGTTTCACGGATCTCGGTACATTCCTCATCCTCAGTCATGACCTCAGCCTGCAACTAAAGATTCCTGCCCTACTGATTTCAATTACCAACAAAACAAAACAAAACAAAAACCAAAAAGAGAGAAAGGAAAAGTACAGTATAGAGGGTAATAGCACAAAGGAGTAAATTTAGAGTACGTTTATACCATCTTACCATTCTATAAAAAAAGGTACTTAAAACTATTTCTTTTGCATAATAAAGAGATTAGAATATTTGGTCAACTGGAAATATTGCTATAGGCACAGATGACAGCAACAGCATCCAAAAGTATAATACAAGAATTAACACCCCGCCACCCCCCCAAAAAAAAAAAGCTCAAATGCTGAAGACATGCTATAAGAACGATGGCAGAGCTACACTGGTCTTGTTAATCTCAACTCAGGGGCACGAAGGTGGCTCAGGGGAGCACCTTCCTAAACGTGGGATATCCCATAATTCTCCGAATCCTAGCCGAGTATTTAGACATAGATATTTACACACACGATTTCTGAGAGACTCGTAATGATTCGTCTTCACAAGTGTCCAGCAGTGGTTAATTTTGTCTCTTGATGGGAGGCTCCCGCACAGGCGGAGCCTCCGGCGCTATCAGCAATGGAATGTCAGTTGGGTTTGGGAACATTTCCCCACCCTGGCCCCTTCTGCTCGGTCCCAATGTGATGGATGGGCAAAGGAACTCCCTACTCGGCAGCTTGCAGATGGTGATAAAGCAGGAGCAGAGTGGGAAGTGGCACGAGACACACGATACTGTGCACACGGAGACATTTCACAACTGCCTGAAGAGTCAAAGCCCAATATTTTCTTTATCCACTTTGCCACCTTCACCTCTCCACCACCACAAGCTGATCCCGTTAAGCCAGAGCTCACTCATTGCCCTCAACTCTCCCAAATCCACTCCCTGCAGTTCAGATGTTTTCCCCAAAGAAGGAACAGGTTTTTAAGGCACAGGACAGCAGATGCACAGTTAAGGTAGGATCAACAGCCAACTTCTCACAGTGCTGGGTGAGTTGGGAGCTCCTGGACACCACGGGTTTGCAAACTCCTGACTCGAAAGGCGCTCAAGTGAATTCACACAGTGGTTTTAGGTCTTTCAAGGCATGGATGGGTAAAGAAAATAGACAAGGCATCAATGTGAAACCTGATCAACATGGTAGGATCTGCTTTTTGGAGGAAGGAGGGGAGAAGGAACAGCAAGGGAGAGGGGGAAACTTCCCAGAGCAGGTTCCAAAGTGTAAACTTGAACTTGTGATTTTTATTGGAACAGTCAGGATTGTTACCCATCACCGCAAGAGGAATTAAGATTTCACTGGGTTTTGTTTTTAAAACCGGTAAACCGATTTCTCTCTAAAAAAATAAAAATCTCTGGTCTTTTAAGGTCACTTCAGCTGCATTTTTAAAGTGGCTTTTTTTTTTTTTTTCATGGAATGATGGAAGTTGAAACCCTCGTGTTCAGCCTTTGAAGAAGGCCTAAGGCTGAACCCAAGAGGTTTTAAGTCAAGTCCATTTTGTCTCACGCCTTCCAAAGCTTTAGATGGTGGACTTCGAGAAGGACACACGCAGGTGATGGTTCTCACCCAGGTCATGGTTATGGAGGTCAATGAGGGACTGGATGGCCTCTTCCACAGAGCCCATCTGGATCAGAGCCATCTTACGGTCCTTCCTGACAAGACAGAAGGTTAATCAGGATCAGCACCACCTTGTGCTGAGCTTCCCCAACGTGACACAGTGTTTTCTGATCGAACACTCAACGCCAGCAGGAAATTAACTGCCCAGGAAACTGCAGTATCCTTCCTTTTTACATGCAAGTGCCTCTCTCCATGAAAAACAGGCATATCCAAAGAGCTCACTTGGCTGCCTTGGTTTTCAACCCATACCATGCACTTAATCCAGGGTTATTCCTGAATTCTTTACTGCAGAGAACCAAATACTGCATCAGTGACGGTTCTGCTCACCTGAGCCCGAGTTGGAACTCCCTCAGAACAAAGTACTTCTAACCCTTCTCATACTGAAAAGCCCAGGGTAAGGACAGGATGCAAGACAAAACACTTACTGGAAGAATTTGAATCCTTTGACCACCCCACTGTTGCTTGAAAACAACATCTTAAGGTCTTCTTCAGTTACTGAAGGTCTGAAACAGAAGGTTTTCCAGTCAAATGTATGCTGACAGGCTAAATTCACCCCTAGAAACAAATCCTCATCACAGCCTTTCCTAAATTCTCTACCAGCAGCTCCTTGAGCTGGCAAGGCTGAGAGAACAACGGGAATAGGGGCAAGCTCTCCTCCTGCTCACCCCATAAAGCTGCCTGTGTTCACCCTGCCACTAAATTTGCAGCCCACTTTATACTCAGCTACAGAGGAACTCTCCAGGAGGATACTTACGGAATGTTGGACAGATGAAGAGTGGCAGAAGGAGGAAAGATGTTCTGGAAATTTTTGGAGCCTGGTTTCTTGAAACGATGTAGAGGAGAATTCCCATAGTCCTTTGTCAGGCCGTGGGTTTCCTGCCCCTCACGGGGGAGCTGGACTGTCTGGTGCTTGGACAGGGTGATACGGATGGGCTTCCCGTGGAGCTTCTGCCCATTTAAATGGCTCATGGCTGCAACAGTTAAAGACAGCGCTGACTGCAACAGGCTTCACTCCTTTACTCAGCTACACCCATTTCATTCTGGTTCTTCCCCATGCAGACACCACATCCTCCAGGAGCTGCAGGACAAACACTGGTACTCTGCTTTCCTGCACTGTCTGGTCCATTCTCCCTCTGGGTTTGCTCACCCAAATCAAGCACACCTTTCTCCAGAGCTGCCCCAGCCTGCACTATGTACACAAGCAAGCGCACGGACACATTCAGGTTTGGGGTCTTTGTTTTGGAGGAAGAGAAAGGACTGATATTAAAGCTTTAATTCCCCATGAGGCCTCTTAATGCCAACAGTCTGATACTGCTCAAGCCTGCTTACCAAGCTGGGCCTGGTTTCCATCAGTCATCTGAACGAGGGCATTCTCTTTCTTCTTAAATAAAATCTTCACCCTCTGCACATCACCATAGACTCCTTCAATAAGTGAGGAAAGAAGAAGATTCTTTAGGTAGGGAAAAAACCCCACAAAGTCTTTTTAACTTAATATTAGCTAATCAATCCAACAGCAAAAACATTCATTCACAACCAGAACTGATCTCATTCCAACCATGGTTACTTATTCTGCTCTAGTTAAGGAAAATTCTTATATAGCAGAATAATAATGGAACAATACATTAAAGAAAAGACACTGGGTTTCAGCAAAAAGCAAAACTCTTACTGCCAGAAGACTGGACAATTTAGCATGCTATCACCATTTAAAACTCTTCTAAAAGGCATGCAAAGCAATAACCCATGCATAACTGAACATAAACCAAAAGGCAAACTAAATTAAATAGCAAACTTTAAGTAAAACAATGTAAAATAAATGAAAACAAATAAAAATTACGCATTCAAAACCAAAAACTAAAGCAAACTGCAAACTGTACATTTCTGAAGTATCAACAAAAAAGTAAATCTCAACTAAATGAAAAAAAAAACAAGGTAATAAAAAGTGTGAATAATAACATACCGAAAAGAATAAAGAGGCATTGGGGTGTAACTCTCTTTAGAGAACAGCAGAGCAAGGCAGCGGAGGGACAGGGAAGAGGTAAGGAATCGAAGGGGAGAGCGAGGTTGCACAAATCGTCCACAACGAGGAAGGGCAGAGTCCCCGCAGGAAATGGCGAAATTGGTTGATGGATGATGAAGTTTTCAAGATGGTTAATATTGAAGGGCAGGTTGGTTTCCGAAGAGCAGGGTTTATGGTTTTTTTTTTGGTTTGGTTTGTGTTTGTTGGGTTTTTTGTTGGGTTTTTGTTTGGAAGGGGAATGTTTTGTGTTTTTTTTTTATTGTTTTGTTTCAAGCAACAACAGGAAGCAGAAGTACCGTGCAGTCAGTTGGCAAAGAAATTCCGGATCAGGGGAAGAAAAAAAATTCAGGGATGGGGAGAAAAGAAAAAAAAGTAGCAAAAAACACAGGTCAGTAAATACATAAGGAAATATGTAGTGTTCCATCAGTCAGATTTATAGAATTCTACATACAATAACTCGTTTACAGAAACAGTTAATAGGTTTTACCTAGTGGAACACAATGATAAAGAAAAGGCATTTTTACTTAAGATATACAAAGAGGTAAGAGACAGTATCACAACCGAGTGACTTCTACAGGCTTCAACAGTCAATTCCACTGCAATGGGATTCCCTAAAACTGGATTTAAAAGTATCTGCTCCGATTGCAAGAATTTCTTAAGGGGAAATGACTTCACAGCTCGGGTCAAACCCAGCTGCATTTGCTGCTTTAGGCCCGGAGACTGCAGAAGTGCTCCATGCTGTGCAGCCCAATTCACTGCCTTTACGGCAAGAGATGGCTCTGGATGAGCAGCTGTACCACTACAAAACCCCTCAAAGGTCTGCTAAAAGCTCTTGCTCCAGAAGAACTCGGTATCTGGTTTGCAAGAGGCCTCCAAGGCTTGAGCTCACCACATAGAAACCCCAAACTGCTGCTATGCAGGCAGCTGGAAAGGCATGAAAAACCTCTCTGCTCCCAGCACTTTGTATTCCAAGTCAAGCCAGATTTCTTCCACTCGTCATGGAAAGGAAAAAGGGAGTTATTTCAGTTTCCACAGTTCCAAATCAGGGAAAACCCACCTACGTTATGGCAGAGCAGTCACTCCAGAGAAATACTGTCTCTTAACTAACCAGTTGTGGCACAGGTAAGTTTCTACAACACTGATTATACAGGCAATGGAAAAAAGTTTCATGTCTGTTAGTTCACAGCTTCAGTACAAGTATCAAAGTCTCTCTAGCCCAAAGATAAGCTGGATGGATAGTGAAGAGCTCACCAAAAACAACAAGGCATGAAATAACTGCTCTCTCCTACTTCACCAAGAACTGCGTGCACCGTTCAGACACTGCTCGGAGCTGAGAACTCGTGCAAGTTTAACAGGTCCAGCACAGCCCTTGGGCCTGCCACTGCCACCCAGGCTACCAAATCCTCCCAGGAACCACACTCCTGACAGCGCTGGTTGAGAATAATGTCACCAGCTCCTAACGTTTGGGACTTCTGTTTGACCAGCAAGTCATGGGAGCGAGGCAGCGGTGACACCTCCTGGGATGGCAGAGGAGTTCCTAGGTAGAAGAGCAACTCATCCAAACCAAAGCTGTATCCCAGTCCCTGCCATTATTTCATGCCCTGGAGAAAACAGTAATGACAGATAAAAAGAGCAGTCTGAAAATATTGAGTCAATTGGTTCATCTCATCACGAGTTAAAAACACTTTGATCATTCATCACATCCAGGCTTTCCCTTTGATGCAAAAGAGGTTTTGTGGTTACTCTGACATCACCGGTAAGTTTGAGAGCTTTGCCAAGTAGCATTAAACTTGTGTGCACAGTCCCACCAGTTAAAGGGGTTTGCAGCAGAGACTCTACTGCACACACTAGAAGATTCTACACTTTCAATCCAACAAAGAGCCAAAAGCTGACTGAAAAAGTCCAAGATACCCACATCACATTCTCTTGTGCTGCTGTCTTTAGTGAAAGATTTTTGTTCAAATATTATTTGCTGTATTTTTAAAGGAATCCAAATATTTCAACTCACTAAGTTAAGTAGAATTGAAAATGTGAACTGTGAGCTGTTAAGGGGTTTAGCTAAGGAAAAACTTCCAGGGATCTTGGAAAGGGAAAATGTGCAAGCACATGGCAGAGGAAATACTGCACAGGTACAAGGTCAAGCTGGCAGGCGTCCAGACACTACACAGAAAGAGCAAAGGTCAGAACAAAGTCTCTCTGTAGTTCTGAATTAATGTATTAAAAACTAGAACATGCCAAGGAAAAGAAAGCATGGACATGACTATTCTGTGACCCAAATGACACTACTCCATGGGAATGGCAGGGAGACTCCAAATAAAAAGAGGGAGGAAGGGACAGGCATTGTAGTCTTTATGGGATGAGAGCAGGCAGGCAGCATCCTTGGCTTTGAACCAAAGAAGAGCAAGGTTTTAATTTGAGATGGACTTTCTCATTTCCCTTCAGCAACTAGAGTACTGATCTGCTTTGAGTTTGAGAGCTGGCAGAGCACAGCAGCTGCTTTTCTAGTTTTGCCATTTCCTTTAGGTTATGGCAGCATTTCACTTTCAATGACTTTCAGCACAATCTGTGTTCAGAAAGTGAAAGCAGAGGTAATAGAAGGAGGAGAAAAAAAAAGAGTAAAGTTAGGACTCCACTAACCTCAGGATTCAGACTGCTAACCAGCAGCACACAGTTCCCTGCCCCAGTGAGGCCGGGAATGGCAATCCGTCCTGCTGCAGCCGCTGCAGCTGCTGGGATAGCCAAAGGAGCTAGTGCTCCATGAACACTTGGAACTGTCAGGCCTGGAAATTAAAGAATATTAACCAGTAAAGAAATTAACAGCACGTACTCTAGTGTATTTGCTGCACCAGAAGGGAGAACAGCACCTTCTGTAACATGCAGGTCATAATTCGAACCACAGTGACCGTGTATGCTAAGAGCAAGAGGAGCCTCCAATTCTGGTGCTGCAGGAAATGGCATGGTTTGTGATGGGATTTGCTCTTGCAGTGCCTGGTGCTTAACGGGTGCCTCAGCACTGTCTGGCTGACTACAATATGCTGCATGTCTCACAAGAAGCGGAATCAGCACAAAGCCTCAGCTCTGCTGCTGCAGGAAAGGTATCGCACACAGTGCATTTGGAAGGGTCTTTCCATCCAGTGCATGCCAACACACTTTTGTTCTTTAACCATGCATCTAACAGGAGGTGTTAGCTGGTGGTAGGCTACCACCAGCTCATCTCTTCAGGAATGGAGAAGCATTAGTTTTATTTACAGGCATTTCTAGGTTGCTCACAGTAACTGCTGGCACCTCGCTGCATTAGCTCTCCAAAGGGCAGAGCTTTGGAGCTCAAGAAACACCACTAGTAATCAATATAATCCCTCCTCCACCTGGCACAGGATATTCCCCCAACAGGGTATTAACAAAACATTAACAGTTCCACTCTTAGATCTGTGCTGCTTTGTCCTAAGCAAGGAAATTCCATCAAGTTCCAAGGAAGTCAACAGAGTTTGGTCTGCGATAAAAACCAAAGCAGACCTTGTTTAGTCTGGCAATGCAGTAAGTGGGTTCAGCACCTAAACCCCAAGCCTTGAACCTCAGGCACTTGGCTACTTCTGCAAGTAGTAGTAATTTGTTACCTGCAGGATGAGCTGCAAACTGCCAGTGCAGCTCCAACAGTGCGTGTCATATGGGTCACGTTTAAACAACAGCTTTACTCCAAATATTTAGGGAAAAATGGACAAGGATTCCTTGCTTTTGACCACATCTACGGCTGTCAAACTGAGCTCAAACCTCTGTAATAGCAGGAGGAAATCCAAAACATTTCACCCCCCTTCCCATCTCCCCCAGTTATTTTAACTACTGCCTTTACTGACTTCCCCATCCTGCTCCCAGCTTCCCTCTTTGCCCTGGGATACTTCCTTGCCAGAGGTACTACATCTGCATTCTGAGTTGAGCTTACCTACTGAAACACCATTTCCCTCTGTGCCCAAGTGCCAGCATTGAGAATTGACACCACTAACCTCCCAAAATATGGCTACTTAGCTTTAAATCATCAAGATGCTTCAGCAACAGAGAATCTATATAAAATTTCAACTTACGAAATACAGTACCTGCAGCCTGAGGAATTGCAAAGGCAGGAGGAAAGCCAGTTCCTGCATATGGAGAAGGAGAGATTATTCCTGGGGCACCTGGGAAAGATATACACATTATACACAACACCCAATAGCAAGAAAACCTCTAGACTTAGCTGGAATGTCTCGATTTGGCCTTCAACGCATGCATTCAGTTGAAAGCTAAACCCTAAACCAAGCCTCTAATTTAACACTGAGCTTCAAGACACTACAAGAACGATTCCCCCTTCCTCTAACTCTGCTGTTAACAAGACTACAAGCTAATAGCTCCTGTAAGTGCCTACCCACCCCAGTTTTCCAAGTGCAGCTGACACCACCCCAAGTTCATACTGTTGCCAAAGCAGCAGATGGCACCAGAAGCCCAGACAGCTGCAAAGCCTCAACCAGTCCTCACCCCAATGAAGAACAGCTTCCAAAGCAGCAGCAAGCACCCATAGCCACAGGGACCTACAAGTAGTTTGCACTACTCTGATCCAGTGGTTTCTATGTTTTCCTCCTCAGTCATATTCCACAATTCCGTATGACCCAATAGAATCATAGAATGGTTTGGGTTGGAAAGGAACTTAAGATCACCTAGTTCCAACCCCTGCCATGAGCAGGGACTCCTTACCCTAAGACCATGTTGCCCAAGGCTCTGTCCAACCTGGCCTTGAACACTGACAGGGATGGAGCATTCATCACTTCTCTGGGCACCCTTACCCTCACCACCCTTACAGTAAAGAACGTCTTCCTTACATACAACCTGAAAATACACCCAGATTACATCCCCTCCCCTTCCCCAACTGCCACATGCATCGGTTCTGTGCCCACTGCAAGGGTTCTTACCAAAAGCAGCTGCCATGGTCTGATCAAGAGGGGGCTGGCTGTCCCCAGAAGGTAGGTCCGGTCGTGTGTAATCTCTGCTCTTATCATTATTGTATTTCACATTGAGACTTGTGAGCTTTGAGAAATCTATGCGCAGCGTGCAACAGGCATTGTAGATGTTCTGTCCATCTAAAGACTGCAAAGAAACAAACCTTTCCTTACCCAACATGCATTTACCCTGAGATCACACAGAAGGTGTTACAACATCCCAGTTACCAGGGCTCTGTTGGGACATCTGCAGGTATCCCCCACTGTGTGGAGAAAGCACCACTTCATCCCCGAGACCCCTTCAGCGTTCTCCCGTTAGCTGCACCACTCCTGCTCATGGGCAATGCTCACATAAACCCTGTGATTCCCCCGCCCCAGCACCCCAAAACACTTCTAACATTGATCCTAAACTAATAAAAGCAAACCTAAAAGTGAAAATAGTTCAGGTATTGGCACTACAAGCACACTACTCACCAGTTTGGCATGCTGAGCGCTCACTGGGTCAGCATATTGCAGCAGGGCCTGGAACTGGTGGTTCTTTGTGAAGGTGATGATTTTCAAGACCGTACCAAACTTGGAGAAAATCTGTAAGAGAATATTTGCATCTCTTGTTAGCTCCTTTCCAGCGAGTTCATCTCATATTGATCTCCATGAGTAGAAGCAGAAACAACAAAACGTTATTCCTTCGCCTTGTCAGCTTTCCAACTTCAAAATGTAAGGCTTTAAACTATACTTGCATCATGGCATCCGACTAGAAAAACACCGGGGTGACCCAGCTGTCTCCTTAAAGTGTCTGTTAGGAACTTTTACACAGGAAGGTTCATATACACCTTCCCAAACTGAAGCTTTTCCAAGCATTTCAGAGCTGCTTCAACGCAGTCAAGCTTGCATTTTAAACACAGAGATGAAATTAAGCAACTGCAACAGGAACTTGCCAAATAAGCTACTGCCCAACGACCTCCAGGCACAGGATTGGTTTCCCCCTACCCTTGCAGACAAACATGAGGCAGCTACTTCTGCTAAACCCCAAGCAGAACTTGAAGAGCCATCCTGAAAGCAGAACTGTTTTCAAGTAATCCAAGGAAAATGGACCAGCAGCCAAACCTCTGGACATTAAAGTCTGGCCAGACTGGAAGCAAAACCAGAGCAATCTCTGGTAGGTGTTGGGGTCTCCAGAAGACTTTTGGCAGCTGCGTTCAGAGCTTTTATCATAGACGTAAACCCACATCCTGTTAGAACACAGACATGGCAAACACAACCCCTCCTTCCAGGACCACCTTCAAGAAGGTGTGATGCCAGGTTTTACCTGATGCAGAACATCCAGAGCGACAGGATAGAAGAGATTCTCCACAATGATCCTCAGGACAGGGCTCTGGCCAGCCATGGCCATTCCTGCATCCACGGCTGCGGCAGCGGCCGGCAGGGCCAGGCTCCCCGGCGGCGCCAAGTTCACGGCTTGCAGAGCTGCCTGAGCACGCTGCAGAACCAGACGCTGTTAGACACACATTTGTGCTTGCACGACAGACACATGCAGCTTTCCTTGAGCTTCCTGTCTGCAGACTGCTAGAACTCAGCAGGGAGCACAATGCACAGAGCAGTTTATGGCTCCTAAGGCTGGGGAAGTACTGACTTTGGCAGGTTTTGAACACGGGCAGTGCAGACCATCCCCATCAGTGAGAGCAAACTCAGTAAAATAGCTTATTAGCACTAGCATAAGTACTACTTTAAGTACTTTCTAAGGCCAGAACCTTGCTCAGCATCTACTGACGCAGCAGAATTATTCCACTGTTCGGGGAAAGCTAGGCTCTTCTGGAGTGAAACTCCATCTCCAGAATGCTACAGAAGCTGACAGGACTGAATAAGATTAATGCCCATCTGTATTGGGACCCAAGAGCAAGAGCTGCCTGGGAATTTACTCCTTGTAGAGTCCCTCTTGCTCACACAACACTGATGCTCTCACTGTCCTGCATCAGGTGCTGGCTTTGTTAGATGCACCCACAAGTAGCTTTTTCACCTGCACAGCATTAGATGCTCTGCTCCTGATGAAACTCAGCCTGAAAAGTGAGAGGCAGCAAACTGGGTGTACTGGGTAGCCACCCCGATAAGGAGCCACAAGTAACTTGAACTTCTTTCCAGTGCTCCTGTCCTGAAAGGCTGCCAAAAGCAGCCGAGTCAAAACAGGGAACTTCTTACCCTTTGCACAGCAGATCTTGCACATAAACTCCAGACAGCCCAGCCAAAGCCTGAGGAACTGCTGTGTTCCTGTGCTGCCTGCCTCAACACCAGTGCTTCCCAGCAACAGGCTGCACTCTGCTGCATGCTCCAGTTTTGCCCATCAGTTTCATTTCATATAAATTTTGAAGACATTAAGTAAGTCTTCGGATCTGTACTCGGTTACTGTTTCTACCTAAAAGATGCTAGGCCACCTTCTATCTCCTATTCACTTTGCATCTCCTTCCCTGACATGAAGCAAGATTTAGCAGCTCATTTAAGAGTCTGCTGAGACTTTGGATAAAGGCTGTTATAAGAGACTTTGCTCTTTGATTGTTAAACCAAACCTTAAAGCCCTCCTAGGCCTACACCAGCAGCACAACTCAAACCAGCTGCCAAGAAGTGTCTCTCCCTCCCACCTGTACAACAATGTAAAGAACAACAACTAACAGCTTGGTTTGAAGAGTTGTCTGTCTTCAGCTCCTTGTGGTTAGAGAACTGAATGTAGACGGGCTGGCTCCGGAGGACTGGAGTGACAGTGGTGTAGTAGTTCACCATGGTGTTGGCTGCCTCCTCCGTGTTCATTTCTATGAAAGCCTGTGCAGAAGGGAAACCCAACAGACACATCAGAGTCAGCACAAACTTGGCAACAGCATCACGCTATGGCTGCCTTTAGGAGGAACTTCCAGTTGAACTGCAACTGGATTTGATTTTCACAACTGCATTTCCATGCAGGTTTCTGTATATAGGATTAAGAATCGACTGTACGAAGATCAAGGGAGGATCTTAGCTGTCCAGAGTGATTTAATGTAATGTTTCAGCCTCATCCTAAGATCTCCATGCTATATATATTTAGGAAAGTGGCAGAAGCGTCTGCAGGAACAAAAGCAGCCAGCAGTCATCCAGATTCTTAACACCTGTCATTTAAGCAACTCCCCATACTTCTCTAAGCAGCAGCAAGCCCACCCACTGCTCTGTGACTTTATAGTCTTCTACTTCAGAACAAAAGCCTAAGGGATTGTGGCAAGTCATTCCATTAAGTACTTACATATAATCACAGCAGGTGATATATCAGAGGCACATTTTCATAATTAATATTAAAGACAGAGTATTTAAAGAGATTATTAAAGCTGGCTTTGCTTTTTTACTCCTTCATTTGCAAGACAATTTTAGTTACCAAATTAGTGCACACCTTTTGCATTACCCAAGAGTGGTTTGGCTTTACCCATCTAATTCATTGTACCTGTAAAGGTGTCCCTAATATGCAAAGTTACACTGGTGGTTACTCAACTGTCAAAGCAGCTTGAGTGAAAGAGGCCAACTCATGTCACTGCTGTCCAAATAATTTACCTGCTCTGCAATTTAGCAACCAGGCACAACGTTGATTATAGGAGACAACCTGCAATTATGGACTTAGCTCCCTGCACAGCCTGAAAATAGTATTTTCTACAGCTCATGGGATAATCATGGAAAAGTCAAATAACAGCATGCAGATGTTATTGACTCCTAATACTTGACAGTTGTTTAAACAACTTGGGCCTGGTTTACAGATGACAAACTCATCAAGCCTTTGCCACAAGCCCCGCCTGCAATTACAGAGACAATACCTGATTTTTGCCTTTCAACATGAGAAGATTGGTGACCTTGCCAAAAGGTAAGCCCAAGGAGATGACCTCTGCCTCCGTGACATCACTGGGGAGCTTACGGACATGGATTACTCGGGATGGGACTCCAGCACTTCTATCACCTTTGAATTTTTTGATGTCGTTTCCATTAGCTGGGAAAACAAAGAGTTACCCAAAACTTCAGCGCTTCTCACACCCAGTCTGTGCTCCCCATCCCGTTATTGCTCTCTTACAGAGAAATTCCATACACTAATTCCACTAGAATCTGAAGACACATGGTTCTACTTCACCCCCTCACCCCCCCCCCAAATGACACGTTGCAAATGACGTTGCTGTGTGCCACTGCAATAGAATCAAGCCTCCAGTGGCCATTTCACAGCTTGTTTACAGCACACACACACCCCTCTAACTCTGTGTAGGGCTGAGCCTCTGATGATACAGCACTGTTCAGATCCTTTTCACTTGGTCTGGCATCCTTAGCAATGAAGCTGTTTCAAAGGCGCATCTTCAAGCAAGTGATACTCTTAAATACGACCCAAACTGTCCTTCTGGGTCAGCTGGATTGTCCACAGGGCAAAGGCTGCTGCAGCACAGCACCAGAGCTGGCCCAGTGTGGCAGGGAGGCCATGGGCAGGACATGAAGGTAGCTCCAAGACAGGCAATTCAAGGCACGGACAAGCACAGAGGGCAGAACTCTGGACTGAGCACCCATGGATACTGCCTTGGGTGGGATTCCTGACCTCTCCATAGGGTCACACTCCCAGAGAGCAGCAAACTATTCCATACAGCCCAAATAACCCTAGATAAATTCAACTGTGCTTTAAAGTTTAGAGCAAAACCTGCACGTTCTAATTTTGTAAAAATCATTTTAGCAACTGGTCTGCCCCAATTTTCTTCAGTCCACTAAAACTCACACAGGTATAGGGCAGAAGTTTATTATTACTATTCAGCACTGTCCTACAAAGGCCTAGGAAAACATCAAAACTAAAGAGGTTTTAAAACCCAGACCTCCTCCTAGTATCTGCAACGCTTATAAAGCACTGTTCTTTTTTAGAGGCAACATTACCTGCAGAAGAATTGTTGTCGTTCATGATAAAGGGTCCGTTAGTAACACAAGTAGGGAAAAGCTCGTCAGCTCCCCGCTGGAAAAGAAAAGACGAAAGGTAAACTGAGAGCATTTCTACTGAGCTCTATTCAGGTCCTCCTAAAGCAGAACAATTGAGCCTAAGCTGTAGAGAAGCTGAAGTGTAAGTGAAAACATACTGAGAGTGGGCAGTGAACCTCACCTCCATAAATTAAATATAAGTAAGATCCAATTTAGTAATTGAGTAGCACTATCCAGTATCTTTCTGCTAAGCATTAGGGATCTTCAGAGCTGAAGCATCATTGAACTGTCCAAAGCCACTAAATGCACTGAGATACACCAGGAGGATGGGAATGCAACACAACAGTCCCACGGGTGAGGAAGAGCAAACCGAACAGGCCCCCTGGCATCCACTGAGGGCACAGGAGGGTTACGAGGAGCAAAGACATCTTAAGCAAAAGACAAATTACCAGAAGCTGGCCAAAACTGTGTGTGACTATAAACTCCAGTTACCAGCAGAAGATGCAGCTACAAGAAACAGAGATGTGATCCCTTCCCTACCCCAAGAAAGGGTAGGGCAGGAATGTAATGTTACTGGCAAAAAGCTACTTTTCAGATTTCACAGCAGAAATGGGTCCACATTTAACAATTTGGATTCTAGTAGAGAACACTGTCCCTGGTTTGGCATCCTGTAGCCACAATGCCCAGAACAGCAGCACCATCAAGTCTCCGAAAGCACATGTAGGTCCACAGGGACTAAACCTTCAGAATCCCATCCTCTGCTACCCTGCACCTCAGGCTTTGCTCCACATCAGCATCAACGTGGCTACTGGCAAAACCAAACCCCACAAGTAGCACAGCGTATCCCAACATCTGGATTCTGTGACTTTGCTCCCTGCAGCACTGTGGAGGGAGAAAACATCTGACAAAGCAATTCTAAACCAGACTGTTCCTACTAGGATTAGACAACAGCCCCTGGTACTGCAGAGCTTAAGAAACACGTCTGCTCCAGGTTTTTTAGGAGCTGTAGGTGTAATTCCATCTGCTCACACAAAAGTCACTCAGCCCAACTGCCTCCAAGCCACCCTACGTTACCCTAACCCAAGCAGGAGCTACAAAAAACACTACTAAGACTACAAATCACTTCTGAGCACAATCGATGCTTATATACATAACACAGCTTAAAATCAGGATGGCCTCATTACACAAAACAACCCCAAATCCCATTGTACCCTGTGAGCAAACACAGTAATACAGATGCAACACGAAGAAGCATTTCCTCACAATTCTCTACATTACTCTTGCAGAGAAATGCCACAGTCAAAGGCTTTCACCAGCAGAAAAAAGAACAGAGCTCATGTCTGCCTCGTTTAGCCCCCCCCCCATCCTGATGGAAACGTGCCCTGCTTCACCCTGTGGCTACCAGACACTCCATCACCCACCATGCCCTAGATGTGGCAGCACCTGCAGAAACACTATCTGTGTGACAACAGCAGCTCCCTTCCCTGCACGCAGGCAGAAGTAGGTCACACAAGAGCCCCAGCTCACTGCAGAGCAGACACAGCACTTGTGCTTTCAAACCCTGTGTTTCTCGTTTGACTACTCACTGCTGGCTCTTCAAACGACAGGCTCAAGGACTTTGATCTCTTGAATCCAAGGAATTAGGGCCAGGTTCCACCCTCGTGGTTCGTGCGTTGCTGCTGGTCACCTGCAGCACTGACCAGTTCTGCCAAGGCTGTGGGCACCAGGGAGGTCATTCCCTCCTGACATGGTGCAGGAATTGGGAATGGGCCTTTTTACAGCTCTTCTAATTAGCACTTGGATTCCCCCAAGCTACTCTGGGAGGCTATTCCCTGTGATCCCAGCTTTTTGATGACTCAAGTTCATGCATAAAAAATCCCCAGCACTTTACTGTAAAAACACTCTTGTGCCTGAGCTCCTGCAGCCACTCTGGGCATGGCTTTACTCTGGGGCCTGGGATGCAACTGTCAGCTATTTACAAGCACCAGCCAGCAGCAGACAAAAGCCCTCCCAATGCAGACAAGTGTTTACTGGCCTCATGAAACCCCTCACATGAGGCCTTAATGGGCCCTGAACTGTAGAAAAAGGGGTTCCTGAATAGCAGCTTGTACATTGGTGAGCACAGAGAACTCCAGCACTCCCAGCAGGAAACAATGCATCTGTGCAGGGGCAGCCCCTGCAATCCACCACGACAACACCAGGAGAACAAGCCACATATTTGGCTCTCACGGAGGCAACACCAGGAAACTATAAACTGGGAAAACAAACATTTATACTATTATGGAAAGAATTTCAGTTCCCTGAATTTCACTTTCCTGATGACCTGTTCAATAACAACATTTTCTTGCATACTGCAATCTTTACCTGCAGGGCACACGGACAAAGAATGCTTCTGGCTGCTGGGTTCCACATGTTCATGTTGCTTTAATGAAAGAGCCACTTCAATCCACTCCCCTCTTATCTTGGAGACAGTCTCTGCTGCCTACTACACCCAGAGCCAGGAGGCAGAGGGGGACGATTGTTCCACATCAAAAGCAGCAGCAGGCAATTTGTAAGCTTCCCAGCTGGAAGTACGTGCAAGTGAAGAGGGAAGGCTACAGCAGTTGGAAAACTACTATTATTCCAAGGGCTCTTCTCTACACAAGGAAGTTCACAGGCAGTACATGCAGAACTCTGTACAGTTATACCCACACTCTTCCACACAGGCTTCCTTTGAAGATATCACTTTTCTAGGGCAGCTTTACCACGCGCTGAGGAGTTACACCAAAGAGTAACACTGAGCACACGGTGCTGCCAAACCTCCTCCAACCACAGGATGCTGCATCAAGGACAACTCTTCAGCGGTGTTTGTTCCTCCTCTGCTGCTCTTGGAGCTTATCTCAGATAACCCTGAGAAATCTCTAGGGAGGACCCAAAACCCACCTGGTCCTTGGAAAAGGTTTAGAAGAGTTTTTCCACCACCACCACATCCATTGGGTGTCCTGACTGATACTGGGAAAGCCAAGCCAAAAGCGACTGATTCGGAGGTATTGTTTTATTCAGGTTTAAAACCACACAAACAGCAAGTAAACGGCTGTGTGGGTGCTCAGCAGCTCGCCAGCACCAACCCACACCTCCACCCCTCTACCTCCTTCAGCTGTGACTACCATGGGGAGACCCAACCGTGCAGCAACAACTCAAGACAGCTCTTCAGATCCTCAAGTCCCCATCCCTGCTCATAAGAGGCATGGATTCCTGTTGACATTCACAGCGTGCTCACAGCAATGGCAGCCTTCACTTGAAGAAACAGATCTCCTCTTCCTCGTCATAGAAAACAACCCCCACTCTGCAGCTCCTCCCCAGGCTGCTCCCACCACAGTATCACCAGGTAGAACCTGGCCTGGGAGCGTTTCTATGACAGCAGCCTTCTTTGTTTGCACTCCTGGCTACGAAAGCTCGACTGCTCGAGCTGCGTTCATTTACTCCCAACACCCCTGCTCTGGGTAGTTTTGCCATCAACGATTTAGTTCCCTTTTCTGAGTTAAAGGCAAGGTAGATTTTTCAAACAGTTCCTATTTTTCTAAGTTAACTTTCAGGAACTTTGATCTTTTTGCTGTAGTTTTAACCAGGCTTTCCCAGCTTAAAAAGCAACTCTCAATTGCCCCATTGCTGCTAGGATTTTACCTGAACCTCGTCACTGTTTGGAGTTAAGCCACAGATTGTCACAACTTCTGCCAGCATACATATATGTGCTACAGCTGCCCCATGTAATCCTTGATCAGAGAAAGGAAGATGGCAATAGCCAAACCCAGGTGCTGCAGGAAACTCCTGGCTCATGAGGAACCCTGCAAAGAGCAGCAGCAGTCCCAGCCCTGACTGCAGAGCTGCTCTAGCGATGAGCCATAGCAGTATACCTCCTTTTGGTGCAGAACAAGGTAGATGTAGGTGGTGTACAAGCCATCACCTAAAAGGTGCTTCCAGGAAGTAAAGCACCTTGAAAATCCCCCCTCTAGGAAGAAACCAGTAAAAATCTGGACTGTTGGAAGTCCTTGGTTTGCTTAAGTTCAGATAAAACCCGTCTCAAGTCTCATGGCAGAGCACACCAGCATCCTTCTTCCACTTCATTTTGCCCCAAGTTTGTAGGATGATTTTAGAGCCAGTAAAAGGCCACCAAAATATTCTGCCCAAACGACATAGGGATCATGGGGAAGCTCACACCGACCCTTTGCTTTGATGAAAGAAGCAAAAACCATCGTGTCTTTGAGCTCAGACAGAATGGAGTGCTGCTGAGGTATGCTCCGAGGGCTCGCATGAGCTCAGCCCCAAAGGAATGTGCTCCATGCTGCAGTGCTCAGCTCCAGTTGGTTCGCAAAGGAACTAAGAAGAGAAATCCAGGCTGGTGACATCATCATTCACACTCCAGCTTTTCTTGCTGAGAGATTCAAGAGCTAGGAAGGAAATTAACCTTAAACTGCTCGAAGGATGCCAGCTTTCCTTGCTGTCCCCACAAGACTGGTTTCCAGCAAGGCTCCCTCGTGTTACCCCCGTCCCATCTCCTGCTGCCAACACTCTTGAGTAACGTAAAGGTAAAGCAGCGTGAAGAACATTGCCATCTGGGTCACAAACAGCACACCAACTGCATCCTCCTTTGGCCCCAGTAAAGCTGGAAATGTCTGATCAACACAAGGGAGCTTCAAGACCCTGCAGACAGCAGGCCTGGGCCAAATGAGACACTGCAGGATGCTGCTGTCCATCTTCAGTGTCACGTAACCTCTTGCTGCCAAACAGCTTACACAACCTGATTTGAACCTACAGTTTTTTTGGGGGGGTAGAGGGAGAAATACCAATTTCATTCATCAAATAGCTTGTGGCTGATTTTTATGTACCAATTCAAATAGAGCAACCCCTGCAGCATTTGTCAGATTAAATCTAGCCCTGTAGCTGGTATATTCCATCCATGGAGGAGTCAGAGGCATCAGCCTGTCTGGCAGGCCTTGAGTAGGTCCTTTTTTAACTACACTTTTTAGCTGGGGCCAAACAATGTCACCTACCACTTACAGCCTCTGAAGTTGTTCTAACCTCGCTCTTGCCTGCACAAGATTGAGTCCGATACCTTTCCCAAAGAGCCAGCATGGCAGACTTCCCACCAAGATTCCAACAGCATACTTGGCTACACACACACATTGCACCTTGAAACCAGGTCAGTCGGTCAGAGCACTGCAAAGAATTCGGTGCTTAGGAAAAGTGTCCTACCAGGTGTACTGCCACAATAGCTGGTACCATTTCTAGTGTACACAGGTGGGGCTGTGAGTGCAGACACTGGAAGCTCAGGCATTACATGAGAGCAGTTGCTCACACAGCCCAGCGTGAGGTTGTGCAATAAGGTGCACTACCAGCTCCTCAACCCACTCACCCCAGCAGCCCCTCCCTGACTTTCTTTCTCAGTCTTTGCTACTATGGAGACACCCTGTAAAACAAACCTGCCCTTTGAGCAAACAAAAGGTGTGGCCATTTCAAAGGGCCCCAAATTCCTGAGCTCCAAGGGCTGCAGCAATGCAGTCAGGCTGGCTTTGCAGGGCAATCCACACCCAGGCTTTATGAGGTTCTGCTCCCAAGCTGAAACTTAACTGCTCCTCAACCTTGAGCTTTTACATCCTGCAGCTGAGCAGACAGGTCCTTGGTGAAGCACAGGACAAACACTATCACAAAGAAATGCCACTGGGTGAGTCATGCTGGGAAAATGGAACCTGCAAAAGAACATTTTGTGTCCAAATCTGGAGCAGAGCAAACTGAACATGCAGGTTTAGAAGAAACTACTAATTCAATCTCATCTAAATTGCAGTTGTGTAATAATGGCACCTGCTGTGGCAACCATGGAGCCTTCATTGCACTGGGATTACCAGCACACACTTGCTGAACTAAGCAGAGTATTCAATGAGTTCTCATATGAAGCTACACCAGAATTACACAGGATTGGAACTGAAATCATGCTTACTCTCCTTGCTGGTGTAAGGTGGCAGCAAATGTGGCACTGGCACTACTTGAAACCAGTGGCAGTGACTCAGGGCCCAGACTCTGTCCCATGCTTATGGGATTAAAGATAAAGTTGAATAAATTCACGTGTGTTCAGAATTTTGCTATTTGTTTGAATCATCACAGATTGAGGGCAAAGGAGGCCCGAGGTTAAACCAAAATACTTTCTACAACCATTTCATTAACTGATTGTTTTCTACAGTCTCACATAGATTTCTTTTCACCTACAGGGAGTCCCAGCTCCTTTCCAAGTGCAAGGGACTTGAGGTGGTTCCCACATGAAAACCTGGGTTACATGTGATGGAGAAACTGCTTTGCACAGCTCAAAGAGCTGCTAAGCCTGTGGCAGTGATCTCACCTCACCCAGCAGCTTCAGCTCCTGGTAACACAGATGTAGCCAGCTTTCAGAACCCATCACAGGACAGGTACCTGTACATTACAGGTGCATCAAACCCTATAGAACAGGAACACAGATCACATGAAGCTCTTTATCAAACCTGCCTGATGTGCCATTGCCAAAGGACACCATCATCCATGCTCCCTGCTATCAACATGTGGTTTACACGTGTGATCACGCCTGTTACAGCAGCCACAAGAGCCAGCTTGTTGCAGCCTCGAAGCAAAGCCATAGGAGGGGACTGGAATTTCCTCGCAACATTCTTGGCCTGCTGCCTGAAGCCATAATTACTGTTCCCATGGCAAAGATCCTGGCTTGATCACAAATGACTTCTATGCAGCCAGCCCGTACCACACTCCAGCAAGCCCTGCTTTAAAAATTAACTTCTCAAATGCCACCAAAGTGGTTGCTCTTTGCTTCTGGAAGTATCAGCTTTCAGGGAAAAAAAAAAAAAAAAAAAGAATGTTCAACTTAACCAAGAAACTACAAAATTACTCTGAGACTTTTCCAATCACTGAAACAGCTTCACTTAATAATGATGTACCATAGTTCATACTCCTTCTAGTAACCAGTGCTGTTTGGAGACCGTTAGAGCCTGAGGAGGTAGTGGTATCCTGGCAAAAGAAAGACAGGGAAAGGAGATCCAGAGGAATCTTGATCAAATTACTGAGAAGAGGCAACTGCACAGTGAGACGCACTACCCTGGAGTTCAAATACAGTGCCTCCATCTTAAGGTCATACTTCCTCTTCAGTCAGCAATGACATTATGGGAAGAAACAAGTCCTAACTCGTGGGTTCCTAATGTGTAGAACATTCCAGAAGGCTGTGCATTAAGAGCCCCACACCAGCATTGTAAATGAGCTTCCTAAACTAATTCACACACTTGAAACTGAGGAGGAGCCTGTGGACTAGGCTAAATGTGAAGCCCAAGAACAATGACCATCCTGGTTCAGAACCAGAGCACCAGGCAGTGCAGTGCTGAGCAGCTAGCCCGAGAACATCTGGGGACTTCTTAAGGTAAGGTTTGCTCAGCATCACAGGCACTTTTCCTACCTGTCTGAGAATTCTCTAACTTTGGGATATTCCTTTATGAAGCCAGAGATGACAAAACTACAGCTCCAGAGCATTACATTTTCAGGCAGTTCTAAAGCTTGTGAAGGTGAGGCAGCAGTTAATCCTTGAAGTGATGTCAGTGATGCCCCAGGGAGCAAGCAAATGCTGGTGGATGGACAGAGCTCCATCGCTGTAGTTATGTTGGCAAAGACAAGGCGAAATGCTTCTGTGGCATCATGGAAACCTTCTTCTGCAGTGCCTTCAAACTACTTCTTGGCAAACCCAAGTGAGGCAGGTTGAAGGAGAAGCACCACAAAAGCAACAACAACGTTTCAGGAGCTGTAGCCAATGAGGTTTTACACTTACCACAGAGGTAACTATTTTTAAGAAGTGACTGACACAGCTCTTGCAGAGATGCCTGTAGCTCTCTGTGCAGGAGCCCTGCAGGCAGGGGATCTCCAGTGATACAGGAGCGTGGGGAAGCTGCAAGGGAAGCCTTCCCTTTGCTCCTATAGGTGTGCACAAAAAGGGTTCTGACTTAACTGAGCAAATCTATGACATGTAAAACACCCCAACATTAAAGAGCGTTCTGCCGCATGAGCTACATGGTTTATTCAATGACTTATTCCAACATCATCAGGTAACATAGCAATGTCAAAAATCATTTTAAAACTTACCTTTATCCCAATGATTCAACTTTCCTTCTGCTTCTGCCACTCTTAGTTTTGATTCAACTTTCTCAAGACTCACCTTGTCTGACTGCACAAAACCCTCAGTTTTGATGCCCACTTTGGTCCCACCACTGGCCACCCCCATGGTACAACTGCCATGACTGTGGTTACAGCTCTGGCTGTGTGAGGAGCAGAAGCCCTTGGATGCAATTGCTCCCAGTCCTCAGTTTAGACACTGTATGCACTAGGGACTGCAATCACCCCACAGATGGGAGTGATGAGCTGCACAATCCCACATCCGGAAGCTTGAAGATTCACCAAGAACACAATTACAGCTTCAGAAGCCTCCTGGTGAAGTTGAGTTGTGTAAAACCACTTCTTAAAGCTGCAGAAACCTAAAGCTACAAATTACCCAGTTAAAACCATCTGAGTGGACTCTTACCTAGATTAATCAGTTTACTAGAAGATCAAACTGCTCTGCAGGTCAAGGGATGGCTTACTCCACCTTTTACAATAGCTCTTAAGTATTAATCAACCTCACTGCCCAGTCTGAAGCCTTCCCTCCTCCCATGTCAAACTGAGCTCCTCACAGCAGAACCAGACACTATCACGGCACTACAATTAACTCCAATTTCAGATTCTCATACGAGGGAAAGTGAGAATAACCTCCCTCTATAGCTATTAAACCAAGCCCCCTTCATGCATTTGATGCCCCTCAAACCCTGAAGCACTAAACCATGCTTATGGTTAACAGCAGTGCACTTCCAGCACGAAAACCTATTTGCTGTTTAGGAGCAAGCTCTCTCTAATGCTCCTTCTTCACTCATGTAGACCTAACAGAGCTCACCTCTACTTCAGCCACCTCACCAGCCTATTCCAAGTCACCACACTGCTCAGTTCATAATGGAGATGCTGATGCTACCACCACACAAGTCGGGCCATTAAAGAAGCCAAAGGCCAACATTCACACATACTATCTAACAAAAGGAACTCAAGGGCTGAACTTACTGTAATCCTGATCCCAGAGCATTAGCTCCAATGGTCAGGAAGGAACAAGAAACCCCTCTAATGCAGGAAGGAGTGCCAGTCTATCCCACACATTCCAGTTGACCATTTCACAGGCCCCAGCTTTTATCCTGGAACACAACAGCCTGTTACTAAGCACTGCAGATAAGGAGGCTCCTGTCAGCACTTTGAGTTTCAGGGCTAAGTCTGCACTTTCAAAACCTGAGACTAGAAGGATGAAGGTCATATTTACTGTACTCACAAGAGATAAAACCCAACAGCTAAACACGGGGGGGGGGAAGGGGGGGCAGAAGGATTTTTGACATACAACTGAACAGGAATTCACATAAAGGAAATCAAGTTCTCAAAAGGCCCAATTTCTCCACTGAGAAGCAATGCCTAGCACCCAAATAACAAGCATGGCTTGACATTTAGAAGGGGAAAGGGCTGTTTCTAAATGCAATAAAGTTCTTTTCTGAGAGTTGATAATCAATATCCAAATGCCAAGAGCTAAATGCTGAGCCATAATAAAAGTTTTCAATGCACATGAAACTAAATTACCTTCTGGTTGCAACCAATTTACATGGGACCAGAAATAACCCCTTAAAGCTGAAGATCTACATTTGGTGAGGCTAAAACAAGGTCAGATGCTGAGCAGTGTAAAAAGAGAGAAAAAGTGAGAAGTGCCTACCTTTGTACCAACTGTTAAATCTTGGACAATGCTGTAGAAAAAAGAAAGAAAAGGATTAAAAAAGTTAGATAGGTTTGCCACAAATATCCAGCATAGTTTACAGCAGTAAGAAAAAAAAGCAAGTCAAAAGTGCACAGTTGTCTTTGCAAGTGAGCCAAGGACAGTTTACACAAAGGAAAATTATTAGATGGTGATGGTGGAGACCCAAGACCCAGCAGTGCTAGAAACCCACAGCTCTTCCCCTCCCTAGCATGGGGCTTGCTCCTTGTGCAAGGGGTCACAGGGGCTAAGAGCAAACTCCGCAGGTACCTCACTTCCAACACCACCTCTGAGCAAGCAAGAGTCAACTCGATCCAGAGTATTCACTTCTACAGTTCTTAACCCCCTGGTTTGTAAAGGAGAAACTTCTAAGGAGGCTCTGGAGCAAAATCCCTGCGTTGGTAGCGAGACTAAAGGGGTGCAGGAGAGACGTGGGCAGCTCCCAGGCTGGGGTTTGCCTGCACTGTACACAACATTCCTCTATCAATTCCTTTCTACTCAGAAAAACAAACAGTATTTTCCCTAACACAGATCTCAAGGGAAAAAAAAAACCAAACCCAAGCAGTTATTCAACTCTACCATAAGCACTTAAACCTCCTACAATGAGACTTCCTGATTAACTAACATGATAAAGAGCACAGTTGTACCTCAGGCACCTCACACCAGCAAGCACACACATGGACCTAAAGCAGCTTCTTTCCCAATGGCATCAGAATGCCTTGTCTACAGCTTGCTGTGCGGTACCTGGGTAATGTCCCAGAGTATTCCAGCACCTACACGTTACTCCTCGTTACAAGAGTGCTCCAGGATTCCAGTTTTACCCTTGCACTGAAGATCACGGATATACGTTTTTAACAAACTCCAAACTACTGTAAAGCAGCAACACAAAACAGAGCAGAAACGACCATTTCAGACTGACATATATGCAGCACTGCCTGGCTCAGCGCAGTAACTGCAGAAACAGCCTGGTTCAACTCCTGCCTTCCCAAAAGCTGCCCGTGACTTCAGAGTACAGGATCCAGGAGCAGTTAACAGACCTGTAGCAACCCTAAAGGACCATGGCAGAGCAGCAGCAGGCAGGGCAGCCCTTCCTAAACCAGCAACGTTTAGCCTGAAGTACTTCAGAACAAGCCTACAAAGGGATTTAAGGCAGAGAGAACTCGCATTTCCTGGTCCTTCCTGCCCTACCCGCCCCGCACCAACTTCTCAGGCCATTAAATACTGCTCCGTGTTGAGTCACTCCCATCTCCCCAAACACGCCATCACCCCAGGCCAGGCCAGCTCAGCTCCTCGGACTTCCTCCTCCAACCCAACCTGCCATGTCATCATAACCCAGCACTTTAGAGCCGGAGCTGTGGCCACGAAGCCACGCGATAGTTTCTTTTCCCTTTTTTTCCTCCCCCCCCCGCCCAACCACTCCAAGCCAACTCCTTCAAGACGGCTCCGTGCGAGGAGAGCGCCGGGATCCATGGAGCACAGATGGGGTTTGGTGCACTGGGAGGGCCAGCAGGAATGAACTAATCAAACCCATCTGCAGAGAGCACTTTAAAGCATCATGTTATACCAACGCGAATGACTCCGAGTACATGTTCATCAGTGAAAACGCACACATTCACCCAGCGAGTTTCACAGCCTTAGGAAAGAAGCAGTATTTCCAGCACAGCAGAAGAGCAACAGGGAATCTCCCGAGTTTCCCAAACTCTCCAACTTACCCCCGAGCAGTTTCTCTCACTTCCTGTTCCTCCTGTGGGCCTCTCACACAGGAAATGTTTTACATAAAAGTACTCTTAACAGGGGACAGCGTTTCCAACTCGCCAGCAGGAAGAGCTGGTTGATTTGCCAAGAATTATCAATTCCTGGAATACTGGAATATCGTGGAAGCCCATTTGATAACAAATGACCACATGGAACAAGCAGCAACAGTATGGAAGAAGTTTGACTCCACAAATGTGCAGCGTACTTCCCATTCAACCCCACCCCAATAAATTATTACATCTTAAGCTTCTCTTGTCTCCTCTATCAACCTTAAGCAGGGGATTAAAGGCTTTTTCAGTTCCAAAAGAACTGGCAATAAAGCCCCTATCCGAAAGAGGTATTTTTGCATTGAATTCCTACACAACGAGGGGAAAAACAATCCAGCAGCACCAAGAAAACCTCGAGGTCATTTTCCAAAGCAGCGTTTTTCCTCTATTAACTCCTTGTGTGTTTTACCAAAGCAGTTTACTCAGGCGGGCTCAACTGAAAAGCACAGTATTGGTTTGAGGAGGAAGCGATGGAAGCAACCAGGGGACAGGGAGGGAGGCAAAGACCTAAAACCACCTTCAGAAGCAGCTTTTGGAGGTTCAACAGCCTCCACGGGGGAACCCGATCCAAGATAACGGGGTGGTTAAGGCTCAGACGATACTAAACCGTCTCCATTCAAAAACCAACTGCTTTAACACGCACAGTAAACCAACCTGCCTCAGAACTACGGTGAAGCCAGCTGGTAACCAACCGGGTTTGCCATTAGAACGCCTGATCTGACATGCTGGAGGCTTTATTTTTGATGCCCAACGTGGTGAGCAACTCGTTAAAAGCAGCAGGGCATCCCCTGGAGTGTGAAATCTGCAAGAGACACAGCTTTTATGGGCCTTTGAGATGGAAAAACCACTTTGAGATGGAGACGCCACTTTTTCAACGCGTAAGGGAAAAAAAACGTAGCCATGTGACTGCGCCTGATTCTCACCACCCCAGTGTTCGGAGGCAAAAAGCGAGGAGGCACTCATTTGGGCTTCCTGTGCTTAAGGCTCTGTGAAAACAAACCGCTTACTCGGGGTGGGGTGGGGAGTCAGAAGGACTTTAATCGCAAGAATCAGCTCGCTAAAACTACAGATAACAAGAGGAAAATGGAGCCCTCGTTTGGGACGGAGTTGCCATCAGTTTACTTGCGAGACACCCGGCGAGGTGGTGGTGAAAGGGTGGAAGAGCCGCGCTCTGTTTGGAGCGGCAGGAGCCCAGCAGGCACAGGCTGGGTCTTCAGGCGCCGGGGCAGCGGGAGCGCAGGTCTGGGCTCGCCCCGCGCTGCCAGGTATGGCCGCGGTGGAGGCTCCTCCCGGCACCGCTCGCCAACAGCGAACCCAGACAAAAGGACCGAGGCCCCCGTCAGGTGCGACCGCTCCCGGATCCCACCTGCGGGGCCGCCACGGAGGCAGCCGCCGGGCCCGGCCCCGCCGCAGCCTCACACCCACACCGGGCTGCAACCCCGGCCGGGACCCCCCCCCCTCCCTCCCTCCGCCGAGACGCGGACACGAGGCGGAGGCTGGAGGGGGGGAGGCAGCGCACGAGGCGGCGCGGATCGGGACCACCCCGGCTCCCAGCACCCACGAAGGGCTCCGGGAGAGCCGCGTCCCGTCCCGTCCCGTCGGGCGCCGCCACCGCGCTCTCCCCGTCCCGCCCCGGCCGCACCCTCGGCGGCCCCCCCCCACCCTTCGCCTCAGGGGCGCCCCAGCCCCCGGCGTGGGGCCCGCACTTTCCCCCCCCCTCCTCCGCACCCCGGCTGGGTTCCGGCAGCGCCGCTCGCCGCCCGCGGTGCGGTGCGGGCCGGGCCGAGGCCCGGCGCGGCGGGGACTCACCCGTCCATTGCACACGCAGGAGACCCGTCGGGAACGGGGCGGAGGCGCCGGAATAGCAGGAACGAGCCCGACCGCTCCGTGTTATAGACTCACAAAATGGCGGCGGCGCCCGGCCCGCCTCACCCGCGCCAGCGCCCCATTGGCTACCGCCGGTGTCATCTTGATAGCAGGGGCGGGGAGCGCCCGCCTCCCACGGTTGGCGCGCTGGCGCCGTCCGCGAAGCCTATTGGCCGCGGGCGGGACGAGGGGCGGGGCTAAGCGCCGGTGCGCGGCGCCATTCGGTGGGCGGCTGGGAGGAGCCATCTTGAGAGCGGGAAGGAGGCCGAGACGCCACACGGAGCCGCCATCTTGATTGGGGGCAGGGCATGGGGGAGACCGCGTTGGGCGCCATCTTGAGTACGGGCAGCTCCTGCGTTGCGGCCGGGGGAGCGGCGCCAACGCCGCCATGTTGGCCGCGGGCAGGAAGCGGCGCGCTGGCGGCGGTTGCCATCTCGGGTGAGGGAGCGCGGCCGCCTCGCAGCAGTGAGGTGAATGATTGAGCACTGCCCGTCTGGTGCTCAACAGCACTTAACAGTTTCACTTGACATACAAGGTAAAGTGGTTTAATTGCAGTTCATGTCTTAAGGATAAAGATTACCCGGTGGGGAGACAGCCCATAAGGTAAGGCACAACACCTATCTGTTCTGCTGAGGTACGAGGATAGTATTTTGTCCTAAGTTACAGTTCCGACGCTGTCTGCTGGCCAAAGCAGCTCTTCTTCCAGTCAGGTGAACCTCAGTGGTTAAGTAGATCAGCTTGTTTCACTCTTAATATGTGGCATTGCCTGTAGGGCTTAACTCGTGCAGAGCTTCTGGTAAAATCCATGGATTTCTGGTCTTTGGGCATTTTCAGACCTCTAGAAGGTTTGCTCTTCAGGTGCCGGGCCATCTCTGGTAAAGTGAAGCACACTACAATGGACTTAAAGGGGTTACATCTTCAAAATGATCCTGGAGCTCACTGAGGTGACGGCCCCCCAAAACAGAAGGGAGAAGCAGACCCCAGCCCAGTCCTCATTGAGAATGGGGCTGTTTCACCTTGTTCCTATGCAGGAACAGGCACGGGAGGAGCTGGGTCCTGCTGGAGGCTGAGCAGACCTCGGGAGCAGTACCCCAAGGCCATGGCTGGTTCCTCTCCATGGACGCTAATGAAATGCTGCGTGTCTCTGTTTAAACATAGACAATATTTGCTCACTGGGAATTCTCCTCTTCTTTGCCTCGCTTGTCATAACCCTCTCTGCTGAGTGCAGCACAAGAATTAATTGTCCCGGCCCTCGTCCCTTGTGGAGCATTGAGTCAAATATCAAATGTCCAGCCCACAATGACCTTGCTTCGTTAGCTGCAGCCCTCTTTTGAGAGTTTCCAGGCAACATAACACAGGTCTTCACTGCAGGAAGGAGCCTTCATCCCTCAGCAGCCCCCCCCCACTCCTGACACTCCTTGTACAACTCTGCCAGGCAGTGCCCAGCAGCAGTAAAGCACTAACACAAATCAGTGCCACTGCTGGAAGCACCTGAGCTGCAACACAGCAGGTCAGGGACAGATAGAAAAGTTCAGAGGAGGATTTGAAAGCCAGGGTGTGCATGAAATGGGGAGTCTTATCCTTGGGCAGTGTTTCTGCTTCACAGCAGGTAGCTTTGACAGGCCCAGACATGCATTTTATAGTCTCCTTTCTTTCTGAAGCATACACTAGGCACATGAGTATGGAGAAAAAAGTGATAAAAGTGAAACCATCTATTATTTTCTCCCAAGCACGTATTACTGTGCTGCTTCCTATGGCACCTTGCTTTCTCAGAGAGCGGGGCAATGCTCAGATGGCCAGGAGCAGACAGCAGCTCACTACCATTGACGTTGGTAGCTCTCATTTTCCTGTCTTTGGTTTATTGGGCTCCCCAACTTGTTCCAGCAGTGAAGTTTAAACTAGAGAAAAATAGGTTCTTACCTCTTGCTCCAGCTGACTGAAGGCCCCAGCTGAAACCAAACTTACTGTGCTGGGTACCGCATATGAAAGGCCACAGGTAAGAAATTTACAACTCAGATGAGGCAAAGAATGAGAAAACAATGGGATTATGCGATCCACTTTGGAGCTGCTGAGCTGAGAGCCAGCGAGATAAAGTGATTTGCGCAGAGCAGAGCAGGAATTTAAGGCCCAGCTCACAAGCCACAAGGCACCTTCTTGAACTCTGCCTGGTTTCAAGCTGTTTCCCATGGAGGTGTTGCACTTCATCTTCCCAATAACCTGCTTTATGTACTGTAAGTAAGAAACTCCTCTGGAGCAGAGGATGGTATGGAGACAGAATCACCCCCTTTAATATGGGATACCTCAGTCTGCTTGTAAAGAAGTGTTCCCTAAAGAAAGGTACCCTGAACATGACACAAAGGTTTTAGAAAACTATCCTTAATGCTAGATATTGATCACTAGTTGTTCTTGACATTAGTTCATTGCATGCACCAGCTGCTTGCCTGGCATCTTTGGAAAAGCAAACAGAGGTGGATGCCATCAAAGAATTCCTGCTTTTCCAAGACCTCTCCTGTGCAGCTGTGGCTTTGCTTAAAAGACTCCTTTCAAGGTTCTTGCACGCTCACTCCCCTTTGCCTTAGTTGTAGCAGGAATGCTGATTGTGCAACATTTCATCGGCCATTTTGCCTGTATCTCTTTTGGGTTGATACGAGAAAGAAATCCCAGTAAAACGGCCATGAGAAAGAAACCAAAAGGAGGGAGAAAGGGAGAAAACAGAAATCAGGATCTTTAGTAGGACCCAGCAAAACAGTCCCACCCTCCGGCTCCGGTTACTCACATGCTCCAAAGGCCTTAGTGGGGCACACCCAGGTTTGTCTCTTTTAAGCCCTTCCTGTTATCTCTTTGAATTTCATTTACCGTGCAGGGAAAACCAACAAAATCCTGAAACAAGAAAGACCCTGTTCCTGCCTTTTTTCCTTTGTGGGTTTAAAATAGCTCCATGTTCGCAGGACACTTTAGGGAACAACGTTCATTTGCAAACTAGCAAAGGGGTTTCCCCCCCTTTGCCCCCATGTTTCTATCTGTAACCTGAAAACAAGAGGTGGAAAACTATCACTGGAGAGTTGGCTGCAGTTCTAGTGCTCAGGAAAACGTTCCTTCCTTACCTGCAGCCGTGTGATACTACAGCAGCACAGCACACATTGCTAGCAGGGGGAGGATTCTTCCCATGCTCCATATGCTTAGTACTGATAGAAGGAACTGTTTCTGCCTCATTCCCAACGCAGGATTTTCATTACAGCC